TCTAACAAGATATGTATTAATTTTTTGTTTAATTTATATAGATAATTTATTAATTTTTAACATTTTAAAATTTACAGACATATAAATGGTTGGGCAAAATTTGTTAGAGCAACTCAACTATGTCTTGAACCAATTATTTCTAATGAAGAACTTAAAGAAATTAAAATGCTGTTTATAGATTTTATTAATTATTATGAGCAGTAAATTTTTAAATATTTAAAATAGTATTCTTTTAGATTACTATAAAGTGCTGAGTGATGTATTCAGATATTTATAAGTGTTTTCCAGAGCATAAAGATGCTAGTCACAAAACATAATATGCAGAGTATGTGAACATAACTTTTAATTTGTGGGTACAATTATAGGAACCTATTGCTCAGTGCTTTATAGCATTATATTTATAAATAAAATTTTATTTATGTAATAAAATTTTTTTTTTAATATTAATGCTTCAAATTTATATATTACAAATCATTTAAAGAATATTACTAAAAAGATCCTAATCATCTTTCAGCAATGCTCATCAGCTTCTATTATCTTTTACATATTTCTGATTTGATCTTTCAAACTGGCTTAGCATAAATGACATAGCAATTTCTGATGGAAAAGCTATATGGAATGCTAATACCTTTAGTACATTCATGACAAAATCCTTATGTAAACTTAACAAAACAAATAACTACATGGACATGATTTACACATTTGCAATTTTATAGTAAATATAATCAGAAAATCTTTAAAATAACTTCTAAAAAGTCTCAGATTCAATCATTTAAGTATCTTTTTAATTTTCAAAATAATGAAAAAAAATTATATTTATTGTTTGAAGAATGTATAATAACAAAAACTGAGATCCGCAAGGTTAAACAGTATTATGCAACCTTATTTGATTTAGATATAACTTGCATTAAGGTAATATTTGAGATTTTTTATTTATACACTTTAAAGTATTATTTATAAAAAAAAATTTTTTTTAGATAACTAATAACAAACTTCAAAAATATGGAAAATTACAAACCAAATTTGAAGTGGTAATTAGTTTACAATATGCTAATTGCAAGAGAGATGTTTCATAAAATAATTATTCGATAGTAGCAAGTTAAATTTATTAAGTCTTGTAAGGTTTAGATATATCTTTAATATTTAATACTTATATAGGCAAAACTTCTAGTTGACAAGAATGCACACCACCTAAAGGCACCTATTGAATTTGAAAAACAAGAGTTCTACAGCCAAGCCTTATTCTACTTTACACATGAATATAAGGGTAAGGTATCAAAGCTTGCCTATATATATTGGATCAGAAGCCCAGAAGTTTATGTAAATAATATACATGTTTTCATAACTTCAGTGAAATAGGAGTTATCAATATTACTACTATTGACTGTTGTGTTGGGTATCTTAAAGTTGCAACAAATAAATACATTATTATAGATAGAGAAAATCAGGTTACTTTCTGATAAAATTCAGAATATTTGGTTTTATCTTATAATATATAAAGTAAAAAATATAAAATTTTATAAATTTTAAATTAGAAAATTTTCTGAATATTTTCAAAAAATTATATTAAATCCTGGTAATTTCTGAATTCTAACTATTTTAAAAAAATTTTCTGCAAAA